ATGGGGAAGAAAGGGGATTTAAGGGTGCTTTCACACCTACACTTTTGTTTCGGAACGTATCTCGTTTGCCCAGTTAGCGCGGTTCGTTTGGCATATGTGAACAGGGCAATCGCACTCTGTTCCGCGCCAAAGTAATCGCTCCGAGATCGCTTGAGTGAGGTGGTCTCGGCTCGATTGAAACGAACCCTGGAGCGGTTCGATTGCAGTGAGAAAGCGATCCGATCCGAGCGCGGTTATATGACAGTGTTTTATGGATGTGTAATAGGCATACGGCTATATGAAGAGAGAATTATGAGTAGGGCGGGAAGATTCGCGAGTCTCCGGATGCCTGCAAACGAGTGATGATCTCCCGGTAATCTCGTGTCTCTCTCCCAGTCCTCAAATAGGCATCATCGCGCACCCTTCTCACCCCTCCCCACCGTGTCTCTCCTCAGACACGTCACGCGCGCGCACCCTGTCAATCACCACCAAACCACCACCTCTCCTGACAGCTGAGCGGGACGCTGCAAAATAAACCCTGACACTCTGACCAATGTAAGGAGAGTTTACTCGCACGTGACTTGTTTTAGCTCTTTTGGTCCGATTAGAAACTTTGCAGTCTGAAAGCGAACCGCTCCAAGAGCAAAGAGCAACAATGTAACAATTTTAATCTCTGTTTCGGAACAACTGAATCGATTCACAGGTGTGAAAGCACCCTAAGTGACTTTGAACGTGGCATGATTGCTGGTGCCAGACAGGCTGGTCTAAGTATTTCTGAAACTGCTGATCTACTGGGATTTTCAGGCACAACCATCACTAGTAAGGTATACAGAAAATGGTCAGAAAAAGAGAACATTTCCAGTGAGCGGCAGTTTGGCGGGCACAAATGCTTTGTTGATGACAGAGGTTAGAGGAGAATGGCCAGACTGGTTCGAGCTGATAGAAAGGCAATAGTAACTCAAATAAACACTTGTTACACCGGAGGTATGCAGAAAACATCTCGGAATGCACAACAAATCTTGAGTCGGAATGGCTTCCTTTTAAGATCACATCCCGTGCCACTCCTGTCAGCTAAGAACAGGAAACTGAGACCACAATTCGTACAGGCTACCTAAAATTGGACAATAGAAGACTGAAAAATAGTAACCTGGTCTGATGAGTCTCGATTTCTGCTGTGACATTCGGATGGCAGAGTCCGAATTCGAGGTCAAGAACATGAAAGCATGGATCCATCTTGCCTTGTATCAACGGTTCAGGCTGGTGGTGGTGGTGGTGTAATGGTGTGGGAGATATTTTCTTAGCACACTTTGGGTTCATTAGTACCAATTGAGCATTGTGTCAACGCCAAAGCCTACCCGAGTATTGTTGCTGACCATGTCCATCCCTTTATGACCACAGCGTACACATTTTCTGATGTCTACTTCCAGTAGGACAACACACCATGACATAAAGCGTGAATCATCTCAGACTGTTTTCTTGAAAATGACAATGAGTTCACTGTACTCAAATGGCCTCCACAGTCACCAGATCTCAATCCAATAGAGCAACTTTGGGATGCGGTGGAATGGGAGATTCACATCATAGATGTGCAGCAGACAAATCTGCAGCAACAGCGTGATGCTGTCAAGTTAATATCGACCAAAATCTCTGAGGAATATTTTCAATATCTTGTTAAATCTACGCCAAGAAAGATTAAGAAAGTTATAAATGTAAAAGGGGGTCCAACCTGGTACTAGTAAGGTGTACCTAATAAAGTGGCCCGTGAGTGTATATATTATATGAATTTATATATTTGAAATAAATTAGTAATAATACCTAATAGTTGGCAAGGAAGTATTTTGTGATAAATTTACTTCATGTGAATAAAGTAATACCATAATAAAAACGTTAGATGTAGACATAAAAATCACTTTCATATAAATTATTACCATTGTTCTCCCAGTGCAAAGCCAAGTTTTGTTTTTTATGAACAAGTATGACTTTGATATTTTACAGCCACACGGTGCAAGAAAGTTCACCCACACAAAAGCAGAGCAACTGAACCATGTTGGCTTTGACAACACTTTATTTCAGTCAACAGGGGAGCTGTCTTTTTGCCCAGGCAGAAACTGAGAACAGAATGGCAAATTGAAAAGCTGCTAAAAGTAAGCCCACATGTAGTTCATCGAAGCGTTTACACTTGTCAAGATTGTTGATGTTACTCATGAAAACTCTGAAAATGTTTGACACATGATATATTGAGCGAACAGTATATTTTGATTCCCATTTTCATGGCATCATTAGGCATATACATCACACTGCGTAGCCCATTACAACCTTTATCTGCATTAACCGTGAAGCTACAATAGACATTTACTGACTGTACAACATTATCTTACTGTTGCAACATTAAGCAAATATGCGCATCAGAGGCCTGGACATTAAAAGCTTCGCCAATTGCATAACATACAGTAAAACCAACATGTTGCTCCTATTTAGGACAAGCAAAATTAAATATGTAAATCTGCCCAAATTTAATCTGCAGCTTCCACTCAATATGAACCAAAGAAACACAAGTGGCTGAAACGCAGTGCTAATGGCTGTGCTCGTGGATCAAAGTGCATGGATCATGCATTCTAGTCCTTCAAACAAAATTGGTGAATTATTTAGCTTTAAAAGAGGTGTGGATGTGCACTTTCATTTAAGATGCATTGCTTATGGCTGAGGATTAGATGCACAAGAGCGTGGTGTGTGTAAAAAGCTAATACGCAGACAAATTTGATGCAATAAACAAATAAAGTGCCTTATTTGATTAAATTGAAATGCTACATCAGTCAATATAAAAGTGCAGTGGTCTGTTGGACAGATACTGTAGTGCAGCTAGAACAAAACAAACAAGCTATTACATTTTGCTTCCTTTAAAGACTGTTTTTAGCAACACAGGCTAAATGGGAACACGTGCTTCAGCCTACATATATGTGAAACTGCAAAAACACAATTAAACATACGTTTGGCTGCTGTTTGTAAGTAAAATGAACACTATGTACACTAAAACAAGTGTATGGCAGTATATTCCTTTTCACTAATAATATTCACAGGCATGTATTTTCGATAAATAAAGGATTATTCTCATGCCGTTCTTTGCACAACATCAAATAAATCCCACAAAACCAATTAACTGTATGCTTTTTAATTGTATATGTGTGTTTTCACCTGTATATATCCAGTTGCAAAACTTTTCTGGCATGGTCACTTTTCTACATAGCTCACTTAATACTGTTGTATTTGTTATACAGCACGTTCTGTGTAAGTCTGGCAGAGTGATCTCATGAGGAAACGTAACTATTTTACATTTTGTTAAGTGGCTAATTCATATGAAAATGTACAATTTTAAAATGGAGTCATGGCACCCAACCCCACCCCTAAACCCAAGAGTCATTGGGAGTTAAGCAAATTGTATGAATCAGATCTTGCATATTCATACGAATTAGCCACTAAATCAAAAAGTTACCAATTGCCCTGTGATCGTGTTGGTAAAGCAGAGTTCCACAAAAAAAGATAAAAGCAATGTAAAATCAAAGTAAATCTATGTAGTCCCAGTGCAATTTGCTCTTACGTTTGATTTTGTAAACATTGAGTTAAGGGATAGGTTTAGGTCGGTGATTCGCCAATTTATGCCTCTGCATCAAGCGCACCCACATGGTATGGCGTAGCCTCTGCACGATCACAGATCCCTCACCATTGCTGACGCCGACTTTGATGTGCACCTCTCAAAAACTACACATCACAACGACGTATAGCGTAAGCTCTGTGATTGGTCACCTTGGTAGCGGCTGGGTAGTGGCCGAGAGCCCGAAGAAGTGACTGTTTACAAGTTTCGAGTCTCTATGAGGAGCTCCAGATGGAAACTTTTGTTTTGTGTTTACCTTATGATTAGGTTGCACTTCCGCCTGTTCCTGCCACTAAATGTGCGGGTTTTTGCTACTTGTACATTAAGGTAGTGTGCACAAGAAGAAAGTATATCTGAAACATATGACAAAACTTAGCCTGAGTAACGTATTACGTTAAGGTAGTGTTTAGAAAAAACAAAACACCTGCAAAGAAACTCAATACAGAGAAACATAAAATGCACGGCTATGCGCAAGGCATGCACCTTGGGTTACGCCGATTGCTTGACGAAGAAATATAAACCAACCTTAAGTGTTTCTATACAAATCCACCTTATCTATGATGTGTACAAGAAGAAAGTATATCTGAAATGTATAACAAAACGTAGCCTAACTTTTTACAGATTCGCAAAAATGTAGACTGCGCCCTCTAGTGGATTTGTCATTGGAAACATGCAATGAAGTGTACCCAGAGCAACGTATTATACATTTCTCAAATATATAGGCTGAGCCACCAATTTCCAATAAACATGGAATGTTTTTTAGCTATGTTTCCATCCAATATTGGAATGTTTAAAAATAATCTGCCCTTTCAGTTGAGTAAATTATTAATAATACATATGAAGATGCTGCAAACCACTGTAGCTCTTTTTTCTTCATAATAAAAATCTATAAATAATTCATAACAAATTACTTGACAAAAAATATCTTGCAAATATCATGCAGATATCAAATGTTTGGGAATGCAGATTAGACCATTCATTTAACTAAATAATTATGTTGTTTTAAATATTTAATTGAATAATTAGGTGGTGAAATCCAATTGCATAATCCTTTAATGCACATAACTCATTCATTCATACATTTTGTTTTCGGCTTAGTCCCTTTATTAATCCGGGGTCGCCACAGCGGAATGAACCGCCAACTTATCCAGCACGTTTTTTTACGCAGAGGATGCCCTTCCAACCACAACCCATTTCTGGGAAACATCCATACACACTCACTCACACTCATACACTATGGACAATTTAGCCTACCCAATTTACCTGTACCACATGTCTTTGAACTGTGGGGGAAACTGGAGCACCCGGAGGAAACCCACGCGAACGCAGGGAGAACATGCAAACTCCACACAGACAGGCCAACTGACCCAGCTGAGGCTCGAACCAGCGACCTTGTTGCTATGAGGTGACAGCACTACCTACTGCGCCACTGCGTGGCCCGCACATAAATCATAATTCAGATTTTTGTCATCAAAATATTTATTCAATATGTTTCCATTGTAGTTTATATGCATGTCTTCTTACTGCAAAAAAAGAAAGATGTGCTTTAAAAAGACAGTTCACCCAAAAATGTAAATCTGTGGTTCAATAATGTTAATGTTCTTGCACAGATTGATCTCTTTGCTTCATAAGATCTCTTAGTCTTCATGTGTTCATTTTGTTTTTGTTTAGTGCTGGTAGCTATTGATTTATTGATTTTGATTATTGATTTATTCCTTTAAACAAAAGCTTATTTTTTTAAACACACATTTTGTAATGTTGATCACATTGTTGTTCAATATCCCAAAAGCATGTGGATGGAAACATAGCTTTTCATGCACCATAGCTGTGAGCTTATTCACGTTTTACCCGAAATACTGACATAGACAAACACTTTGCTTAAATGCAAGATAAAATATTATAAATATATAACACACAAACGTACATAAAAAACACACGTATGCAGTTTGTATGAAAATGCCAGTAAACATTGCATAAAAAGGCAAGGAAATCCGTTAAACACACCACAACATACAAAAATAAAGCTGTGAAAAAAAGTTGATTTGTCCGGTTAAAGTATGCTAAATTGTCCTGGCAGTGGCGAGATTTTAAGGAGGCTGCAAAGAGCAATCACTTTAGAATGCTGTGATACAGAAATATCAGAAGAACACTGAGGAATTTGTACAAAATTTTGGTTTTTAGATTTTTTATATTATGTATCCTGTTTTGCATGTATTATACTGTGATTGATTGTATTTCGCAATAGCTAGTGGCTCACGGGGAGGGTACCATGTTCTTAATTACAGGTTCTCTGTTAAGATATGTTGCCCAATAAACTAAGTTAAAGCTGCCAAAGAGCACTGGAAAGATAATGCGGGACATACGGTCGATCTTGCTGACGCTGTTGAAGGTCTTCTTTGTTTCTTTGGCCACCGGTTGTGCTTTACTGGGCTCTGGTGTAGCGCTTTTAGAGACAGTGGGCAAAGCAGAGTCCTTTGCAATGTGGGGTGCGTAGTTTGCCACAGCGACTGCATACGCATTGTTCTTTTTCATAACGGACGTCTCTTTTTTCTGAAATCAGATAAAATTGATTAATACATCACTACATGTTCAATCAATGTTATGAACATGACATCTCTTACAGTGTAAAATAATATCCGTGAATTATTTCATTCATTATTTTGTGATTCATGATTTTTCCTCATATATTTATGCTTTTGAATTGCATTATGGGACATTGATTTTACTTCCAACAACTTTTAATCTTGAAAATTGTGAAAAAGTGACTTTTATAAATATTTTTAACTATTTAAAGTGATATACTGTCTGGGTTGTTGTTGTATAGTACACTAAACAACCTTGTAATAAACTTCCACTACATTTTCTGTTATTTATTTCTGACTTTTTTCTCATTATATTATTTCTTATATTTTATATTATTTCAGACTAATAAAATGTCTATAAAAGTCAATTTGTTAAACTGTAGAGTTGAATTTTCAACATCAAAATCATAATGCAATTCAAAAAGGTAAATAAACAGAAAACACAAAATACAGAAACTAAAAAATAAACGAGACTCTAAAATATATACTTTTTTGTTTGTTTGTTTATCCTTTCAAAATATGCTCTATTTGATTGACATCATTTGAAGACATGCATGCTGATAAGATCTTTGTTCGTCTTCATTCGTCAAATGGAATAATTAAATTATGAAAAGCAAATGATTTTCTTCTTTTTCTTTACACAGATGAACGTGAACTCAACATACAGTTTAAACAAAGTTGTGTCCAAGACAATCAGGAAGTTTCCAACACTTATACAAAATAAAAAAATGAATAAATATTTTGAAAAATTACACTGTGTTACCCTTTGTATAATACAAAGTAAAGAAAGCAATAAATTGTGATAAAAATACTTTGTAGTGTTTTAAATAAAGGAAAATAAAGAAATGAATCAAAAATAAATAACTCAATTCAACTCATACAGGGTAGAATTCAATATTCACTTTAAATTCACTGATAAATCATTACACTGTTCAAGTGACTCATTACGCTGTTCAATAGAATTGTTGCACTGTTCAAATGAATCGTTTCACTGTTCAATAGAATTGTTGCACTGTTCAAATGAATTGTTACGCTGTTCAATAGAATTGTTGCACTGTTCAAATGAATCGTTTCACTGTTCAATAGAATTGTTGCACTGTTCAAATGAATTGTTACGCTGTTCAATAGAATTGTTGCACTGTTCAAATGAATCGTTTCACTGTTCAATAGAATTGTTGCACTGTTTAAATGAATTGTTACGCTGTTCAATAGAATTATTGCACTGTTAAAATGAATCGTTTCGCTGTTCAATAGAATTGTTGCACTGTTCAAAAAAATTGTTATCCTGTTCAATAGAGTTGTTGCACTGTTCAAATGAATCATTTTGCTGTTCAAATTAATGTTGCACTATTCAAAAGAATCGCTTCGCTGTTCAAAAGAATTGCTCCGCTGTTCATAAAATCATTGCACTGTTCAAAAGAAACTTTTCGCTGCTCAAAAGATTCGTGTCACAGTTTATCGTTCACTGTTCAACAATAACTGAAGTCGTGAAGTGTTTTGACAATAGCCAATTTCACAGACTTATCCGGAATATTACAAGTAATTTTCTGTAAAGAGATCATGTGTGAACAGGATTGATAAATTAATTCCAACAATTTTCCAGATAAGTTTAAAAATGACCAAAAAATGCACAAAATTTTGTTGTGTGTGAACGCAAAGGGAACATTGGGGGTATGAGCATGTGCAAGCTCAGAACGTGCTGAAGTGTGCCGTCTACTGCGGGCCAATCAGAACATTCTGACGCAGATGATTCATTCACAACTATGCTGTTTATGAAAATAGCCGCAGGCTAGCTCTCTGCAACTCTCACATGGTCGTCCACTGAAGCTAAGGAGGGCTACTTCTGGTCAGTACCTGGATGGGAGACCATATGGGAAAGCTAGGTTGCTGCCAGAAGTGTTGTAAGTGAGGCCAGCAGGGGGTGCTAAACCTGAGGTCTGTGTGGGTCCTTAACCTGAGGTCTGTGTGGGTCCTAACGCCCCAGTATAGTGAAGGGGACTTTATACTGCTCAGTGAGCGCTGTCTTTTGGATGGGACGTTAAACCGAGGTCCTGACTCTCTCTGGTCGTGAAAAATCCCAGGATGTCCTTCAAAAAAAGAGTAGGGGTTTAACCCTGGCATCCTGGCCAAATTTGCCCACTGGACTCTGTTCATCATGGCCACCTTACCATCCCCATATCATAATTGGCTTCATCACTCTGTCTCCTCTCCACCAATCAACTAGTGTGTGGTGTGCAGTCTGTCACATTATGGCTGTCGTCACATCATCCAGGTGGATGCTACACAATAGTGGTGGATTGGATGAGGAGACCCCCCCCCCCCCCCCCCCCCAATGTGTAAAGTGCTTTCAGTGTCTAGAAAAGCACTATATAAATGTAAGGAATTATTATTATTATTAATATTATTTATATTATTAATTTATAATATTAATAATATTGAGAATCTACTGCTTGTTAATCAGACATTTCTATTTTTCTGCATAGAGCCAACTGTGTTAAAATGATTGATAAAATTCTTGCCATAAACCACTGTGAGTTTACCTGTGAGTGCTGTTTAGCTGTGTGATGTGAGTATATGAAAGTGCCAGCTGGAGATTGAGATTACAGATTTTTAAAGAGCATCTCAAAAGCTGTAGAACATGCTCAAACATACCAATGCAAAAGTGTCCCCTCCACATCTCTTATTTGGGGATGTGCTTTTCCATACAGCATATCCACAGTGTTGCCCATTTCTATTGCACAGACCTCTGTGTAGTCAAATGTGTAAACATAAACATAACAAATGCTATAGTGACAATATTTTTCTTGTTTAGTTCATGGTTTGTGGGCATCACGGTGATGCAGTGGGTAGCCTCAGAGCAAGAAGGTCACTGGTTTGAGCCCAGGCTGGGTCAGTTGACATTTCTGTCTGAAGTTTGCACTTTATCCCGTGTGGGTTTGCTCTGGATTCTCCAGTTTCCCCAACAGTCCAAAGACATCCACTATAGGTAAATTAAATAAATTAAATTGTCTGTAGTATATGTGAGTGCATTTGAGAGTGTATGGGTGTTTCCCAATGTAGGGTTGCAGCTGGAAGGGCATCCGCAGTGTAAAACTTATGCTGGATAAGTTGGAAGTTCACTGCGGTGTTGCGACCCCTGATTAATAAAGCCGAAAAGAAAACGAATGAATGAATGAGTTCATGGTTTGTCTCTGAGACAAAAGCAGCTGCATGCAAGCCAAAATAAAAATTAAACCTTCAACAAAAACTGAAGGGGTCATGTGTACAAATACAAGTGCCACCATTTAGAGGTCATTTTTAGGTAATGACGTAAGAATTTACTGGAATTTTGGAAAGAATGCTTTTCTAGAAAAGTGTATTTTTGAATTTACCAGTAAGTTATTGCGAGAATTTTAAGGGTATTTACTGGTATTTTCAACGCTATCGTACGGCAAATCTTAATTTATTAATTTGATGGCTAATTTGTGTGAAATCGTACAATGAAGGTTGGGTTTAGGGGTGGTGTTTGGTGCCATGCCTTCTTTTAAAAATCGTTCGTAATTTTTGTACAAATGAACTCATACGAATTTAAGATGATCTAATGAAAACTCATCACTTTTTGATTCAGTGGCTAATTCGTATGAATTCGTACTTTATAATCTCATTTATAAAATTTAGTTCGATTTGCTCATCCCCCAATGACAATTGTGTTTTGGGGTGTTGTTGGGTGTTACGTTTATAGCTACGTTTCCTTGTAGAATCAGGCTGTACAAATTAATACGAATATGCCACTGAACTGACAAATTGTAAAATAGTTACATTTCCTTGTAAGATCAAGCTGGTATTCCTGTGTGAAAGCTGGGTCTAATGTTGTTGGTTCCTTCTAGCACTTTTAATTTCTTGGGACCTAAAATTGGTCTAAAACGTTCTGAGGGGTTTGTAACAACATGAAGGTGAGTAATTAATACTACATTGTTACATTAACATACTACTTATATGATTTGGGACTGTCCAGGGCTTGGTTATTTTTGGTTAAATATGGTTAAACAAAATTTGTCTTCAATACTAAATGTTTCAGTCCCTCTTTCCCCCTCTATTTTCATCTTAAAAAATGTTTCTGATATCCAACTTAATAAAATTCAAAAGTGAGTGTTTTTAGCTGGCTTGACAGCAGCCAAGAAAATAGTTGTGACAAGAATTTGGGTTTGGGCATAAACCTTGGATAAACTTTGAGGTTTACTAAATTGAATCAATGAGACATCAAAAAGCAGAAACTTCTGGTTCCAGGCCCCATTTTATTTTGTTTTGTTTTATTTTTTTAATTACTTTCCTCCTTTTTTAATTTTATTTTTTTTGTCTTTTTATAGTAATTTAAGGTTCCCTGTTTGGGCTTCTAATAACTTTTCTTCATCGTCGTAGACCTCTTTCAGCACGGTTCTGAATACCTACTATTATTTGTCTATTAACATTCTTCTATTTATTTATTTTACCTGGCTTAATTTTACCCTTACTTAACCCTATTGCCTTTTTTGGTTTGGAAATTTGTTTTATGTGTATGTATTTTTGTGTATATGTGTATTTGTATATATATTAATTTATTATTTTTTATTATTATTTATTTGTTTTAGTATGTCCTTGTCATTACTCTTCAGTTTTTCCTTTTTATTGACACTATTATTGTTATTGCTGGCACTATTATTCATACTGTTATTTAACAACCTGTATATTGGTTATTACATGTATATCTATGCTCTTTGCTATTTGCTGATTGTCTACGGCAGGCATGTCCAGACTCGGTCCTGGAAGGCCGGTGTCCTGCAAAGTTTAGTTCCAACCCCAATCAGACACACCTGGGCTACTTAATCAAGCTCTTAGTAGCAACTCAAGAAAGATTCTTGCAGGTGTGTTGAAGCAAAAGCTAAAATCTGCAGGACGTCGGCCCTCCAGGACAGAGTTTGGACACCCCTGGTCTACGGCATGTTTTTCTGGGCTCGAAAAATACAAATAAATTTATAAAAAAAAAAAAAACATACTACTTATATTACTTTATATATACGTCCCACTAATTCAATCTGTCTGGTAAATCTGGTCCACAAAGTAGGAAAACGTTTAATCAAAAAGATGTTAGGAGATTAACTCAACTGATGTGCCTCATCAAAATAACAAACCTCTTCCAAATCAAAGCTCCACTCCAAAATCAAAGCACGTTCTCTGTAACCATGGTTACCTTATCATTCACAATGCTCTTTCCGTCCCAGGCCCAGCCGCGCTTGGTGAAGTAGTTCACTGTGGCAAACTCAATGAGAGCAGAGAAAACAAAGGCGTAGCACACTGCGATGAACCAGTCCATGGCTGTAGCATAGGCCACCTTCGGTAAAGAGTTTCGAGCGCTGATACTCAGAGTGGTCATGGTTAGCACTGTAGTCACACCTGGAGCAGAAGAACATCACAAAAAGCTCAGATACCGCATTAACGCAACAGGCTTCACTGCAGATGATTACAAGCATTCATGCTGTTCACTCATTTGAGGGGAAAAAAACAGCACAGATGTAGACGTGTAATCACAGTTGCCCTGAGCTAATGAAATCATTTCAGCAGTCAGTCATATGCCCTGAGTGGACCTCCTGTCCTCATTTTTATAGATGAAAAAAAAATCTATCTAAATATTTTCAGAATTATAACATAAATTAGAGAGAAAATGTGAAAAAATACTATATCTACAGTAGCGCTCATTTTAAATTCAAAACATATACAATGTTGTTTTTCTGCAATACAAATTATGATTTAAAAAAGATTGAACAGTATTATATTAAAAGAGTGAATAATTATAGTTATATAATTATTTATAGAAGCGTGCATCCTACATGGAAAAATACATTTATCCTATCCTATACATTTACTTAAAAAAATGTAAAAAAAAAATGTCAAAAAAGTATTTGTTGTCAATTTACTCATCCAAGTCCAATACACAATATTCACAGGTATTCACTTTGTGTGTGTGTGTGTGTGTGTGTGTGTGTGTGTGTGTGTGTGTGTGTGTAGGGTGTTTTTTTACTCATAGTCTTATAGTCAATCTGTAGTTTTACACCATGGTTCAGCTAAAAATCAGTCAATCAAAAAAAAAACAGCTTTTTTCATTTTCTATAGATTTTACCTTTAAGAAAGATAATTAAAGGTTTAGCTTTAATTGTGGAAAAAACAAGATAATTTTAAGCTTTTGCCAGCTAATTTCATCTTTTGGAATTATTTTTGGCTGGGATCAAAATCCGTAATGTAGCGCGAATCTGCTAGTGAAGTGATGGCACGTCGGTTTCGCATTATTATACTAGTTTTATTATTCTTTGAGAAGACGCTGCTTCTCAATTATTTATGAGAGCACTTGCTTTCCGAAAACAGACCTGCCAAGCTGTGAGACCGTGTCCATGCACAGCATGCAGTATTTAGTTGTTCATGAAGGGTCTGCATGTGTTTGTTTCCATGGTGATCCACAAGGTTTGCAAGCATTTTTGTCAGGAGAGCTGTATGAGAATTGGAGAATGGTGGACTTTGTCTTTTATCAGTTGAGTTTGTTACCATTCAGACTCATTGCTTATTCACATTCACACATGTTTAAAATCCTCCAGATTACTGGCAGGGCTAATGGTTGAAACAGAAAGGGCAAGAGACCTGCTGTAATGCTCCACTTTGTCTGCATTCAGACCAGGGGATTCAGGAAAGAAGTCCTCTTCATTTATAGTGTTTATATGAACAGGATTATCTTTATATTGATATAACAAATTGTTAAAGACTATAGAACACACAAGCCATGTCACTCGTATCTTTTTGAATGAGAAAAAGTGTAACTGTCAATATGGTGAATAAAGCCCCGCCCACTAGTACAAGAGCCAATCATCGATCGCTATATTGTGAATAAAGCCCTCCTTCTAGTACAGAAGCCAATCATCGATCGCTATAAACTGATGACACTCTGGGGAGGGGTTTGGACCAGACAAGAGTTTTTGTGTGATTTAGATGTTTAAAGATGAAACTAGACACACTTATTGTATAATTGTATTGATGAATCCCAATATGATTTTTAATGGTAAGGTTGGCAAGCAATTTTAAAGAATTTGATGTTTCCATTTAGACAGAATGCCCGCGCATACTGCCCGAGAGGCTTTCAAAGATGGCCACCGAGTGAAATGACTTGCCTTAAAGGGACTTTGGTATTACTGTATATGAAATTAAGGATAACCTATCGTATATGAAGCAGGGCATTAAATTACTTACTGTTTATTTCTTTGGATTTTAAATTTGTAAACAATAAAATCATGAGTCTCTGACAGTTGTTTGCTTCGCTCCCTCTTTCTCCCCTGCTCTGCTGGCCAAACCCGCTCCTCCCTCTGCTCTCAGCGCTCCACGCCCATAATAAAGCATTTTTAAAATAATTCTGAGGTAGACTTGAACTGAAAGAGGGGGTTTCATGACCCTTTAAGATCAAAGTAGGCACATTTTCAGCAGTATTGCTGAAAAATTAGTTGTTTTATCTTCCGTTTTCAGCAGTGTTGCTTTTAAAGGTATTATATTATATAATCTTCAGTCACTTTTTAAAACGTTACTAAATGTCTTACTCAGTTAATTTTTCATTAAAGTAATGTATTGCTATTTCTGCTTTTTTATTATCGCAGGTGGCCCTAAGATTATATAAATATTTTATTTTTAAAATTAACTTTTCCCAACATTAATTTTCAGGCGAAGGAGACTTGTCAAGGCACTTCGTTCCACTGTGGCAACCCCTGATGAATAAAGGGACTAAGCCCAAGAAAAAGTAATGAAAAAAGACTTCTGTTTGTTTGAAAGCAACGGCAACTAATGTTTTTTGTCCTTATTTTCCCTGACAAAAATAACACTGCAGTAAAATGGGCCAAACTGCACCAGTCTGCAAATTTCAGGAGTGCTTACAGCATTTCCATAATGCCTTTAGTGACTTGAGCACTAAAACAACAAAGAGTAAAAAAAATCACAATTTCAGCATTTTGTTCTAAGTGAAATCCCCTTGCAAGTGTGTCTTTAATATAAATGTTTTTTCTGATGCTAAGGCTTCCTCCCACTGAATGAAGAAAAACACACATATTTATATAAATAATGAAAATTTTCTGACCTACAAAACACAAACATAGAAGGAAACCAATTTTTTGATTTGTTTGTCTGTGTACGCATTCATTTTAAATTCATCCCTCGAGTTCACAAAGAAACTGAAATTGCAAGACAGAAAATATAAAATTACATGCGCAACAACGGTTCTGCCACCGACTGCATCAATAATTGGATCAGAACAACAAAATCAGCGTGCTTTACAATAAAAGGATGTTTTATAGCCAGCGCATAAATGCATGGCATAATAAACGGAATTAAAAATCTTTTCCACATTATGTTATGATTACAGTCCAACGCACTCGAAACATGCTCACCCACCAAAAACTGTGCGTGCCGGAACTGACTCTCTGTTGAGCCAAAAAGAGACTTGAGATAAGATGACGGTCATAATGCAGGGCAGGTACGTCTGGATCACAAAGTATCCGATCTTCCGCTTCAGATGGAAATGGGCAGTCATTACTGTATATTCACCTACACAGCAGGAGAGAAACATGAGATGGGCGAATGAAATTGAAGAAAACATATGGATGTTCGTTTTAGCATCATACCAGTGCTGGACTTAATGGTTTCTTTGCCAACAGTTTGTCCCATCAGATCGTACTGGTTCAGTCTAGATCCATCCGGAGCCACTTCCACTGACAGGGTGGCATTACGTGTCCAAACGTACGTCACTTCTGTCAGGGTGTACGCATCTACAAATGCAATATATTCAAAAAAGACCCAAAAAACATCATGGAAATAAATCATTTATCTGTTTTACTTACAGCTACCAAATTTAAGTGGACATGAATGGAAATCCATTGGAAAGTCCTCAAGATGCATTGGGCATTCAGCTTGAACAGTCAACCTGAACAAATTCAAACAAACTTACAGATTACATTTCATAACACATATTAAAAATAATGCATTGTATAAAACAGAAATCCCACCAGAGCAATTCACTCTTGAAATACACCTTTTTACAATCGGAATGCACAGAACTGACTAAAAATCCCAGTGAGAATATTTAAAATGTTTCAAACTATTTATGTGTTAAAATAAATACTGTTTTGAACTTACTTTTCATAAAGGAATCCTAAAAAATAAAATATTAAGTTTTGCACTGTACTGATGTTATTATTAATATTTAGCATGTTTCTTGAGCAGCAAATCATTATATTAGAAATATTTTCATAGGATCATGTGACACTGAAGATTAAGGGCCCTATCATACACCCAGCAACACGTGTTTTTTACAATTTGTTGCTATTTTCATACCAGCGCAATTTTCATAGCAAATCCATTTGCGCCACTTTGTGGAATCATGGGTGTGCCAGTCTAAAATGGAGGTGTGTTAAGGCATATTGTTTACGCATTGCTATTTTTAAAAACTAAAATAGGCCGTGCCATTGACCATCCAAAAGCAGGTCTAAAGTTCAGCGCAAAGCCTTTATGCCTCTATGCATTTTTTCATTTCATTCATGACAATTTGCATTTGTATAACGTTATTATTATTAGCAGTATTATTTATATGTAAATTTATATTCCTTTTAATAAAAACAAGTTTATATTTGTCCACCTGTCGGGTATGGAGATTTATGCGTCACTATATGGGGCATAAGAATAGGACGTGTGTTTGGATATAACAAAGTTTTTGGACCACACTTAGTTATTATTGTTCATTTATTCGTTTGCTGGAAATTATAACTGAATTTAGAAATAGTTTTAAAATAAATAATAAAAATAAACTTAAATAAATACTTAAAATAAACTTTGCGCACTAACAAACGAAATTAAATATGTTGGCTAATGGATGTCTTATGTGGAGTGAGTTTCCTCTGTTTCCTTTTCCAGTAAAGTAAAGAAGTATAAAGTAAAAGTAAAGTAAAGAGAAACTAAAGAAGCCGATTGGAGGAGGTTCGTTCTTTCTCCTCACGCAGATTGTTTAAATGTTTTCTCAAAAGTCTGTCATGTAAATAACAATGCGCCCTGGCGCGACACAACTGAATCTTAAAGGGAATAGGAGATGAGACTCTGATTGCACTTTATGCTCAAAACACACCCATAACTCATTTAGAGAAAAAGCACAACCCTGTTAGACCATGCCCAAGGCGCAGAGCATATTTTTCCATCTATAAAATAGCAAAAGTAGATTTAGACAAGCCCTTAATAGAGCCCTAATAATGTTTTGAAACAATTGGTTTTACATTTTGTTTTGACTTCACATGGTTAAACGACATTTTAACATAATAAAATTATTATACAATTATTAATATATCTTTTTATTATATATCTTTATATATATTTTAATTTTTTATTGTATTTCTATCTATATATATTTTTATTATTATATATCTTTTTTAGTAAAGTTTATTAATGAACTAATTTCAAGAGGACCACATGCTTATGATTGATCATGGCTGGTCCCGAATTAGCTAGCATATGATTCATCAAACAGACGATTCCTAAGTCCCCATAAATAACCAAAATTCTCCCTGTGTTTGCATGGGTTACCCCTGGGTCCCCCGGTTCCCTCCCACCATCCAAAAACATGCAACTTAAGTTAATTGACTAACCCAAATCAGCACCATAGACATGCTTCTAGTAAGTAGTTATCTCTTCATAGCAGTCCCAAATCGGTCATTAGCTACAAACAGCAGGGGAGTTCTCGAGACCTACCTGAGCTCAAACTCCCCTCTCGCCCTGCAAATGGGAGGGAACCCTGGGCTTGAGGATCTTATGAGTTCTCTCCTGGGACAGCATGTCAAACAAGCTTTATAACCATTAATTAGCTAAGTGTGAACACTTGAAATATGTTTCAAATTCTGATTTCTAAATTTTTACTTTTGAAATAATAATAATAGAAGTGTGTTAAACTAAAGTTTGAAGCTTATAATTTCTTAGTATTAATTGTAAACTAATTTTCACACAGTTAATTTTTAGAAATATCAATTGCATTCATATAAAAGTGGAATTTTGCACACTAAAAATTGCACTGTCATCAAAATCAGAGATTACAAAGCAGAATAAAACAGTCACACCTGAATTGATAGTTTTGTTAGTAATCTGTGCGCACCTCATGGTGTAGAGTAAGGTGCCGTTCTCCATGATGCGCAGGAGTTTGTTTGGCATGGTCATGTTGTGAGCCACAGATTTCTTGCCGTTATGAAAGAAAGTGTCTGGAGTCCAGATTTTACTGGCCATCAGGTTGTTGAGACGCAGGATGTTCATTGGCCCGTGAAACTTGAGCCGCTCGTCTGTCCATCGCTGTCGGAAAAACACATCCACTGTGTATTCCTGAGGACAGAGAGTGACATACCAGCGGCTTTTAGAGATTAGAGAGCAATAGTGCAGGGCATTCGTCAGCACCTGACGCACAAAATATGTCCTTATTCAATGCCGGATCACAAAGCCCAAATCTGCAAGTAAAAACGCTGCTGTTTTATTGTAGAATGCGTTATCAGAATAAAAATATATGTAAAAATCTGAATGGCTAAATTTGTATGAATTCATTTTGGTATCAATTATTATAATATAATATAATAAATTTTTGTATTATTTAAAATGTACTTTTGTGAATCCAGGATTGTTTTTAATTGATCAAAACCTTGAATATACAGATATATGACACAAACACTAGATATTGCAATACCAGATATTTAATTAATAGGTACAATAAAAAAATCAATATGTAAGGGCTGAAAAAAATGGAATATTAGAAATTACCAATTGTTTATCATTATCCTCTAATAAATACTTTAAATTTAAATATTCTTTTTGACAAGACATTGATAACACACTTTATCAGTACTTTATAAAAAAGACAAATTGACATTTTACTCAAAAGACAGTTATTAATGGCAAAAACAACAACATTTTTGGAAAAAAGGTATGACAGCTTTAATTGGAAATGTACTCACATTTGTATCTAAAAATGTATCATTTAGGTGTATCATATCCGTGTATCATATAAATGTATCTCTATGTATCTATGTATCTAATGTATCTCTACACTCTCAGAAAAAAATGGTACAATGTTGTACCAAAGAAGGTACAAACCCTTGTCACTGGGGCAGTACCTTTTTATGGACCAGAACTGTACCTTAAGACAAATAAACTAATTTGTACCATTGCAGTTTGTACCTTTAAGAACACAATTCGTACCATGGGAAACCATAATGTACCATTGTTTTGCAGATCAAGGGTACAAATCTGATCCATAATGGTACCACCACAGTGACAACACACTTTGTACCTTAACAGTGTCAACAATGCTTACCACACATTTATTTAAAACTCCCTAAATGTTTAGTTTATATCTATAGTTTTATGTTTCACCAGTTGTTTTGTATTTTTGTAGAACTTAATAATTCATGTTTTTGAGTTTCTTTAAACATATACTTTTAAATGATGATTCGTGTTTTAATGTGGAAATTTATTCATAAATTCCTCACTTTGCCTTTCCAGTAATATTTATTTCCATTGGTATTGTAATAAAGGAGTTCAACACTTGTCCACCATTTTAATTGTACCATAAAAGGTAGAGAACTGTATCATAAGAGGTCTTTTCTGTACCAAATAAGGTACAACTTTTACAAAGGTACATAACTGTTCCTCAAGGAACATCATTTGTACCATCCTGTACTTTTTTTTTCTGCGAGTGTATATGTCTTTCGGATGAGACATTAAACAGGGGTCCTGTGGTCAGTAAAAATCCTAGGATGTCCATCGAAAATAAGTAGGGGTTTAACACTGACATCCTGGCTAAATTTGTCCACTGGCCTCTGCCCATCATGGGCTCCTAATCATTGCCATATCATAATTGGCTTCTCCTCTCCACCAATTAGCTGGTGTGCTGTCTGGCGCAATATGGCTGCCATAGCATCCTCCAGGTGGATGCTGTACACTGTTGGTGGATGAAGAAATTACCCCCAATGTGTAAAGTGCTTTAAGTGTCCAGAAAAGTGCTATATAAATGTAAGACATTATTGTTATAAGTCAATGTTACATTTTTAATACCGTAAATCTTGAGCTTTTAGGTACTAATATGTACCATCAGTGTACTAAAATGACATATTAGGTGCAAAAGTACCTTTTGAATGTAGATAGACTTGCAAGAAAAGAGAGAGGGGGAGAGAGAGAGAGAGAGAGAGAGAGACAGAGAGAGAGAGAGAGAGAGAGAGAGAGAGGACAGGAGAGATCACCACTTACTCTGTTGTTTATTGTTACCCTGTGCATTTTCACTTCGTTTGTGGTGTTTATAAGAGTGTTTTCTCCTTTTAATCCCTTTTCAAACGTATGTGTATTTTTGGGCTCATACAAATCAACTATAATGATGAGTAGCTCTGTTAACTGCCTCAAGTCTTTTCTTCCCTCTCACACTTCAACTCACCTGGGCAGTTTATAATAGGACTAGGGCTAAACAATTTAGCACTTTAGCATCAATGCTGCAATGTTCACTTTCACAGTATTTACACCACACGATTGTATTATAGTTCATGAGGCACCACAATTCAGAACACGTGATTTTTGGAGTCATCATAAACTCCAACCAAATTTTAACAAACGGATGTGTTTTTAAGTCCTGTGACCACGTAAGAAATTCATGTGAGTTTAAACCATATGGTCTTTACATTGGATTATTTAATTTTTGTGACTCAATCTCATGGCAGTTCCTAACTTTTAGATTAAGTTGCTAATTCGTATGAATTCGTAATATTCTAATTAGTACAATTTAGTATGATTTGCTCATCGCCCAATGACCGTTGGGGTTAGGGGTGGGGTTGGGTGCCACGCCTCCTTTTTAAAATCGTACATTTTCATACGACTGAACTCATAAAAATCATTCACTAAACTAACAAAACGTAAAATACTTATGTTTCCACGTGAGATCAGGCTGTCAATACTGTTAGATTCCCCAGGAAAACATAAAGAGCTGATTGTCTTATCTATAATTCAAGTGAAACTGTATTCATATTGCAATATAATATCATAACATTCATATCACAGAAAAAGCTACGCAATATCAGTTTTCTTTTACACTATCGCCTTACCTGGCACAAACACTTCACAACAAGAGGAACTTCTGAACCTCATCTACTGACTATAATACACCATTGTTAAGCTGCATGTGAGTCATTTAAATAATCCTATAGTAGGCTAGCAGTAGCAAATTCTCTCTGGTTAATTGCTAATCTGACCAGTCACAGATCACATTTACACGCCATATTCTTCCTTGAAGGTATTTATAAAAAATATTTAATTACCATTGGTCAAAATATATGTGTTTTAAGAAATATACACTCTAAGAAATACATCTATAAAATTAAGAATGTACAGACAGGCCTTGTTTGTATCATAATTCACACAAGCAACTGTAAATTAAAATGTAAATTAAATTAACTTAATTAAACTGTAGAGCTATAACTTCAGCATCAAAAGTTATTAGAGCAGATATCAAGATCACATAATGCACATGATGCACTCTGAAGGATAGAATAAACAGGAAACTCATGAATCACAAGCTACAAGCAAATTTTGTTAAAATATGCAGTCATATCTTTATTAATGTGACTGTATATACATTTTTGTGCAGATTTATAACATCAATAATGCCAGTGGGTTTGTGTCATAAGATGTCAGGTACAGTTTACAATAACAAACAATTAACAATATGTTAATTACAGCATTTATTCGTCTTTGTTAACATTTGTTAATGAAAACAAAGTAGTTTGTGTTAAGTCATTCATTCGTTCATTCATTTTCTTGTCGGCTTAGTCCCTTTATTAATCCGGGGTCGCCACAGTGTAATGAACCGCCAACTTATCCAGCAAGTTTTTACGCAGCGGATGCCCTTTTAGCCGCAACCCATCTCTGGGAAACATCCACACACACATTCACACACACACTCATACACAACGGACAATTTAGCCTACCCAATTCACCTGCAGCATGTCTTTGGACTGTGGGGGAAACCGGAGCACCCGGAGGAAACCCACGCGAAGGCAGGGAGAACATGCAAACTCCACACAGAAACGCCAACTGAGCCGAGGTTCGAACCAGCAACCCAGCAACCTTCTTGCTGTGGGGCGACAGCACCACCTACTGCACCACTGCCTCGCCTTGTGTTAACTCACAATAACTAATGTTAACAAGCAGTAATACATTAGTAAATGTAGAACTATGATTCTTAAATGCATGTATATTAATTATTATTAAGTTACCTTAATGTAAAATGTGGCCAAGATATGTTTATATGCAAAAATTTCTTAATGTACACTATTGTTTGTTGTTGTTTTATTCAGAAAAGAAGAAACAATTTGATCAAAAGTGACAGCAAAGACATTTATAATGTTTATACATACTGTTTTACATAAATGCAATCTTTTTGAGTTTTCTATTCATCAACAAATCAAGGTTTTCACTAAAAAAATTAAGCTACCAAATAATTATCACCTATTTTCAACAAACAATCGTCACATTACAATGAGATCTTAAGAATCATGACTGAATTAATGATGCTGACAACTCAACTTTGATATCACAGAAATAAATTACATTTAAAAAAATATGCCCATAGAATTCATTCATTTTCTTTTCAGCTTAGTCTCTTTATTAATCTGGGGCCGCCACAGCGGAATGAATAGCCAACTTACCCATAGAATTATTATTTTAATAACAATTATTTTGAGTAAAGATTTATTAAGACAGGTTGTTAAACCGTCTGAAACAACTGATTCGAATGTTATCACTCGACTGAATGGGCATTATCAGTGGTTATCAGCTAAAGGCTGTTATCATCCATTTTGTTACGATCACCAGCGATCCAGCTGATTGCTGGTAAACACACAGTATTGCATAGAACTACATATTCGCCATTAAATGAACTATAGATGCAGTCATGCACCACTGACACACGTGGCCTAGATTCTCATGATTGCAGACAGACACAGCTGAAGCTACTCATAAATTGATTATTATGACTTTTTATATCGCAAACACACACACACACACTTCAGTGCTGAGTCTTGTGATGCTGTTTGTGAACATTTTGACGCAATTCCCTAGCTTTGTCTTGCTGGTTTTGACCCTCGCTTTGTTTAGTTTGTTTTATTGTTTATCCCTGTCTGCTGCCTGCCTTTTGACCACTCGCATGTTATTTTGACTACGAATGTGAATTTGCCTGTATACATCTGTTTGCCCCTGTATTTACCGTTGCTTGCCTGACCATTCTCAATAAACCTGCCTTTGGATCCTCATTTAAATTCATTCATTTCTTTGTCTGCTTAGTCCCTTTG